AGTTGATTGTTTGTTGTATTGTTTTCTATCCTATCCTATTTCTGTCTGTACCGGTGTACTAAGCGGCATTCTCGGACGGTCAGACAGTTCGCTCAGTGTAAATCCAAAACCAAAATACTGGTGCAATTTCTTTCAAAGCAAAGCKGTACCCTCTACCTCCCTCTCTCTCATGAAACCGCTGACAATGAAACCCCGAACACCTCTGATAACAAAATAACTTTCATTTCAAGATAGGAATGCACATAGGTCGTACCTTTCTTCGCATTCATCCAATGCATCTTTAATCTTTTGGATGTGATTCTTGTCAAAAACATCGTGTACAACAACAAATCCATCTTTCTCGTACTGCAATATCCAATCAAAAGAACCCAGTTGCATTTAAAGACAGTTCTAAAAATTCCACATCCTTGATCCCTATTGTTGTCTGTCTGGAAGTAAGCTTATATATCTTACAGCCCCACAAGGAACAAATGCATCACAATATAGACGATGTATCTGATCTTAACGCTCTGTTTTATCGATGAGGAGGAAACTAGAATCGGTTGGGTTTTTTTGTGAGCATGCAATCAAAGAACTTAGTACGAGATATCAAGCTAATTAAAGTACCTGTTCTTTCTGTTGATCCGCCAAAGAGACACGAACAGTAGACTTCAAACGACTAGTAACACCCCTAAATGTCTTTTGTAAATGCAAGGAGCKTTGCACGAAACGTTGTTGTCCGAGCCAGAGATTGCAAAGCCTTAAACTTCCTTGTAACTGCGACATATTTGCATTGGAACGGAAACCGAGTATTAAACTCACACCACGCGCATGCGAGACAATAGGATACCGTGACACTGTCACGGATGAAAATTAAGACTATCATAAATTATCATATTTTACAAACACACACACAAAAAAAAACATTTGATATTTTCGTATCGTAAGCATTTTTAAGACTTTTTCCACATGATGTCGTCAATTTCAATGCGCCGGCAAAAACTGATTGTAAAAACTTTCGTTACCATGATGTGCAGCTGGCCAATAGTCAATTAGTTTTTAATATAATCGAATGTTTTCGTGGAATCGAGCGAGCTTTTCGGGGCTATTGCAGGAAACTCTTTCTTGTATATCATTTTTTGACGTTTTTTTCTATTTCTTTGATGATTATCCGCCTTAAATAATTTTCATTAGAAATTGGCAGTGAGCCATTGTGACACTACTGCCACGTGGTGGGTACGTCTTGTTGCCCCTCCCAAACCAACCAACAATTCGCAGCTTTCCAGCAAAACAATTTTAATCCAGAATTTATAATATTGATAATTCGTTGTACTTAACTAGATATTTTAACAATATAGTAACTAATGAAAAGTGGTCCTTTAAGAGGATCATTCGACTTATTTAACTAGATA